AGACTGTGGGGGCAATATATGCTGACTCTGTAAACCGCTTAGAGAGGGCTGAAAGCCCTATGAAGCGGTATATAAGTCTAACTGCTATTGCTATTCTCTAAACTGTGCATGTGTGTGCAGCGTGTGTCTGGCACGCGAACCGGTTGTTAAACCAGTAGGATCCCACCCCTGGCTTGGACACTGAGCTCAGAGGGTCAAGTCTAATTCCAAGAGCCAACAAGCCTAGAAGTGGAGAACTTTGGAGAAAGCTTTTTCTTGACATGAGCTCCTAAGAGTTGGAGAAATGCTCGGTATCCCTCATGGCCTTTCCATAATCACAAAGTCATCTGCATGGACAGCAGATTGGACTTTCTTGACCTGGTAGGACTCTAAGATGTTTCTGCATCAGGTCTGAGCATCTGTACCAACCCTTGATGACATTCCACCCTTCCAACCGGCCCTCCGACTGAAATTAACGTCTTCTCCCCCTCTCTAGAAGACCTTGACGCAACCTCACGTGCCGTTCACAGTCGTCACGGTGAATTTTGGCTCAGCGCATTGTGTGAACATGGTCAGATGGAAGCTGCTGGATATTTGCAGTCCAATGTATTCTGGAGGTCCACCAACTTGGGGAAAGCCTAGTTGAGGGATTTACATATTGCCAAATGACCATTTCTCCCCCACACACGTCATGGAGATGGCAGAGGCATCTTGATTTCTGGTATGGATAGCTGAGTTTGGGTTGGATTGTCTTTTGATCCCAGGAACGCACATCCCTTCCAGTCATTTATAGACAAGATTCGGAGGCACAGATTTTGCTCGACAGCCGAGCGCTTTGAGATCTCCCGGTGGGACAACCTAGCCAAGGTCCTACTCTACTTACTTCTTTCAACTCTCCTTCCATTGGAAGATAGGGGCACCAGTTGGAAGAAGAGCCTGCAGAAGAAAGAGCACATTGTAGGGGTTGTTCCAGATGGAACTCATCCCGTGAACATCTGGGTTGGGTTGGGTGGGGTTGGCCAAAAAAAGAAACGAAACAAAAAAGGAAATCATGGACCAGAACTTTCAACGTTGATAAATACACAAATACACAAAGACACACACAGAGACACACAGAGAAGACACACAATGCTGTTTGGGGGGTTACAGATGGAGAAGACTCCTAACTGGGGTGCAGGCGTCTTTCTTTCTCCCTAGAGTCAAATGTAGATCAAATGTGAGTGACGGGAAGGGGGAGAGGAGAGGAGAGGAAGGTCTCATCAAGGTCAGGCCCTTTCTACTGAATCTGGAGCTGATCGGGGCTCGTCATGCAAGCCACGTTCCCATTTGGCACAGTACGTGCGAACGCCTCCTTCTGTCTCCTTCGCCTTCCAGTTTGAATGAAATGGGCAGAAACAGCAAAATGATCTGAACTGATCTGCTCTTCCTGATGACAAGGATTGCCAGGCAGCTCCTCCCCAGAGATCCAACGCGGACGTTTGCCTCCCTTACGAAGCCTGCTCTGTCCCGCGAGAGAGCAACGGAGCTGGTGCAGGCTGGACTCTGCCGACTGACAGCAGTTCAATCCTGACCAGCTCAGGGTTGACTCAGTCTTCCGTCCTTGCAAGATTGGTAAAATGAGGACCCAGATTGTTGGAGGGGCAAGAGGCTGTGAACCGCTTAGAGAGGGTTGTAAAGCTCTCTTGGGAGACAGGTATGGGGGAATCAGCACTTAGAGTTTGATACCAATGTAAGTCTAAGTGCTGATTCCCCCATACCTGTCTCCCAAGAGAGCAGGGGAGAGCAAAAGCTGAGTAAGGAGGTGGAAAACTGGAATACATCACAAAGACGGGACGTTATGAACCCAGACAAATGTGTGTGCTGTGGCTTTGTGGATGTATAAATCCCTAGCAGTGGGGTCAGAAAGTGTCCAAGGAAGCTTGTCTCCCCGTGGATTGAGCCAAATTCCTACACGAGTGCATATTGGATTGCAGACTTCCATCCCCATTACAGCTGATCCTCGACTTATGACCATAATAGAGCCCGTCATTACAGCTGTAAGTTGTTGTAGACAACTTGTAAGTCAAGGCATCACCTGACCAGACCTGATTTTATGACTGTTTTTTTATAACAGTTGTTGAGCAAACACAGCAGCCATGAAGCGAATTCACAACAGGCCGTTGCGTGACTCTTCAAAGTTACAAGAGCATCTCATGGCTATTGTTGACACTTAACGACTGTTGCTGCCTCCCCAGGGTCACCTGACCAGCATGCAGAACGCTGGGCCACTGGCGCTTCTATTTACGACGGTGGCAGCGTCCTGGGGGGGGGGGTGTCTGGTTTTTGCGGCCTTCTGGTCAGAGAACCCGTTGCTGCAGTTTCTGAAACCCTCCCCCCCCCCAGACAACTCTCTAAAATGGTCTCCTCTGGACGTTGTTGACCGCAACTCCCATCAGCCCCAACCAGCGTCTTCCTCAGCAGGGGATCATGGGAATTGGCGTGCAAAATATGGGAATCGTACAGACAGCACCGTCTTGTCCTTGAGGCCTGCAGAAGGTTGACAGGGGCCCCACAGACTTGTGAGGTGGGAAAGGGCCATTGAGGTCACTGGGGTGGATCTCCAGGTCCGCACAGGAGCCCAAAGATCCCCGCGGAGTGACTGTCCAACTTCTGCTGAGAGAATTGAGTCGTCTGCCATTCTGGGGTCGCCTATAAATCAAAACAGTTTGCATTTCCTTCCCTCGCAACCACAATCTACCCTAACCAGTTTGGCACTATGCAGAAGTCTGGTTGCTGTCATGCACTGAGTTGATCATGGTTTCTGTTCCCATGTGCTCCGGGCAACGAACTATCCCGCCAGATAACGTGAGTGGCTGGTCCTGTCTCGCTGGCCATTGCATCTCCTCGAGACCAGACCTGGTCCAGGCCTCTCACTTGAGACAAGATTTTGCTCAGGAAATGTTTGGCTGTGTTTGTAACGTCATAAAGGGGTTTAGCAGACGGGGTGAATCAGACACCAACATTTGTAAACATGTTTTGGGGATGGGTGCAATGCGCTTACTCCAAGCAGTGCAGTTGATTCAACAAGCAGTTCTGGATAAACCATCATTTAGCCTCAATGTGAACCACGGTCTTCCCTGATTCTTCACTTGTTCTCCTAACAGTGTCGGCTGGTTCCGAGAAACCTAATTTCCAGGCTATTTTAAGCATTAACAGATTCTATGGTCTCTCCTTTGACCTTGCAAAAATTTTTGCCTTCAGTCTGAGAGCCCAAAATAGCACCCTGCCAATAAACGGGCTGTGGTGGCCCAGTGGTTAGAGTGCAGTACGGCAGGCGACTTCTGCTGACTGACGGCTGCCTGCAATTTGGCAGTTCGAATCTCACCAGGTTCAAGGTTGACTCACTCTCTCTCTCTCTCTCTCTTCCCATTTTTCTCTCTCTCTCTCTCTCTCCCTCCCTCCCTCCCTCCCTCCCTCCCCTCCCCACAGTAGCTCTATTCTATTCTATGAATTGTTCTCTGGCTTTAAGAGACGTGCTTCCTCTGAGAATACGCTCTCGTCTTAATTGCTCCGGGTTAAAGCCAATCAAAGATGCGTTTAATGTGAACAACCAGAACGAGCATTTCAGAAGCATCCCAAGTTGGCTTTCCCTGCCAGATCCAGAAGCTTCTGCAAGTTGCAGAACCCAAGCCGGCTTGGAATGGAACCAGTCCTTCGTTCCCATTTATATTCTGCACCATCATCATCAGCGGGTGATTAAGCATTCCTTAATCTTCTGCACGAAAGCATCAAATCTGCTCAAAACTATATGAATCATCTCGGTTTTGCAAGGCAGGAAAGGAAGGAAGAAAGAAAGGAGGCAGCATTATGCTGAGCTGCGAGATAGAGAGATATGGATACAGTTTTTTTTTTTAAAAGCCAGTGTGTCAGGTAGCACTGCACATTATTTTTGATGATGCTTAATGACTCTCCGAAATTACAATGGTGGAGATTTTTGTTGGCGCGTCTGCGTGACAGATGGACGGAGAAAGAAAATGCAGCCTTTGGAAGCACCTGTGAGGAAGCTGATTCATCGAAAGCATTTGTTCCCTTCCTGCATTGACTTTCAAAGTCTTTGATTCTGCTCCCTCCTTTCAAAAGCAAGTTCGGAGCAACACCAGCTGTGCACGGAATTAAATCTGTGAACCCCCCTCACACAGAGAGGGCTCCTAACATCTGTAGGTGGCGTGCAGTGATGTACCTGATCCTTCGCTTTCATCTGGGTTCCTTCAGGACGATTAGGTGGAACTATGTCGAGGGAAAGGATTAACGGACAGCGCTGGCCCTGCGTCTCTGCCATCGAACGGGGCGTTTCGCACATTGGGCCAATCCGGAATGTGACTCGTTGGGTTGGGCTTCATCTTCTGCCCTTCTAGGGGTTGTAAATGTGCTCTAGGGGCTGGATTCCACTACTGGCGGTGACTGGCCCAGCAGCCAAAGGAGACGCAAATTATGACTGGCCTCCTATGGTGGCCGAGTTCCACCTAAACCCCTGAACAAACTAAAGTTCGGGATGCTGTGTGTGAACCCAGTGGTGGGATTCAAATAATTTAACAACCGGTCTCTGCCCTAATGACTGGCTGGGTGGGCGTGGCCATGGTGGGCGTGGCCAGGGGGTGTGACAGGCAGCACTTGGCCTCCTGCACCCCACTGGGAGCAAAAATGGGCCACGGGGGAGGGGAGGATCTCCCCTCCCTGCATTTTGGGCCTAGTTGGCCTCCCTGCAGCCTCCTGGGAGCAAACACAGGGCGCAGGGGGGACTCCTTGAAGGGGCGGGGGCAGGAAGGGGCGGAGCTAGCTAGAAATGTAATAGCGAGTTTGCCCAAACCAGCCCGAACCAGCTGAATCCCACCACTATGAGAACCCTTTTCCAGAATGATTGAAGCCTTTTCCAGAATGATGGAAGCGTCTTGCTATAAACTGCAGGGGTGGGGGTGGGGGAGAGAGACATTTAAGAAGTGGTCTCAAACCTTCAGTGGATCAGTACTTACTCCCGGTTGGGATCAGGTCCCGGTCTGGTATGAAGAGCTTATATCCATATTGCTTTTCCAGCACATCTGGCAAGATTTCAAGGACAAACTGCTCTTCCTCCCGGTTGTCCCGGTCCAATGCGTCGGGATCGACTTTTGTGTACGACAGGTAGGCGTCGTATTCTTTGTTGTCTGCAAATAAAACCACAGGTCTTGGGAGGAGAAGGAAGAGAAGTTCTCCCCACGGTTAAAGTGATTTGCGCATGTCTGAATGCCTTCCCCGCCCAACAACCGTCATAGGTAGTTCTGGGTCAATGTTTCTTAAACACTGAGTTATACAGAAGCATCTTGGAGGCAGAACTAGGGATACGGAGTAGTCTAGGTTTATAATTCAGCCACGGTTCAAGATGCCAGGATCCCAAGGCCAAAGAACAGCTCAGGGACACCAATTTGACTCCAGCTCCTTATTTAGTGATACCGAATGGACATAATCTTGCCAGACTAAAGTTGCAACCTTCTAACTTAATGGATAAACCCTGAGTCTAGCTACTCTGAACCTCCTCTTACCTCCCAGTCTCTTGTTTTGGGACCCCCTCTGGAATGTTCTGCCTCCTCTGTGGGGAACCATGATGGTCAGGCTAGGATTCTCCCCCACGCTTTCTCCAGGTGCCCATTCCGTCACCCAAGGAGGCAACGCAGGAGGGAACCAGGATGCCGATAGCACAGGTGGCACACAGAGCCCTCTCGGTGGGCAGGCAAGCCATCACTCCAGCTCAGTTTTGCCATACATGCATGCACACCTCCCACCAGCCAGCTGATTTTCAGACCCCTGCTGCACATGCGGGGGGCGCAAGCGGGAGATACTCCTACATGCACGGGCGGGTGAGGCGCATGCATGGGGGGTCATGTGGGGGGGGGCGGGGCAGGGCACACATGGGAGCCATGTGCATATGCGCAGGGGTGGGGCGCACAGGGAGCATGCACATTGCATTATGGGTATGCGCACAGACGCTTTCGGCACTGGGCACCCCAAAGGCCATCCCTGTGATAGCACCTTTTCTGACAGGCGGGTTCCACTAATGAGCATCAGCTTTCAGGAGCTGCAGGAGCATTTCTGAAGACACACCTGAAGAAATGAGCTACACCTGTCGGAAAACCTGATACCGGATCCCTCCCGATGTTTTGCCACTGTAGGCGAACACAACTCTCTCCCTCCAAAGTCAACCAAGGCTCGAGTGGCCCTTACACTTCTGGGCTTTCATCTCAAATGAAGGAAGCAGCCAACGGAAGGCAGCGAAACAATATCCCTGAAACCATCGTTCACGTTAATGGCAGAGATAATCTATTCAATCTGAGTGCTTGGCGTGAACCTTTCAGGTACGTTTATCACAGCCCATTTTGACAATGCAGAGACATCAAATTTTATATCCCCTCCTAGAACTGCAAGTCTGTTGCGGAAGGGAGAGGTTGTGACTGAAGATCCTTAGAATGATTTAATCTCCTGCGACTTTGAGAGAACGAAGATCAAACCGCTAATGCAGGGAAGTCAAAAGAACTGCCCGCTTATAAAGCCTCAATTCTCTGCAAATAACTGGAGTTGTGGGTGCTTAAGAAACTGCTGAAAATCAATTCAAACAATCACTGGTTTCTGACTCAGGAACTGTTAAATAGCAGAGAAGGGTTGGAGCTCAGAGTTGAATTGTGAGGTCTTTGGTGCTCTCTGTCCTTGCCCCCCCCCCCCGGTAGACTTTTCATTATCCAACTAGGTAACATTATCAGTGTAGAAGGGGGCTATGAGGTTTGCTCCCTGTACGGTAGCTGGCCAAAGCAACATTTGTGTGTGTGTGTGGTGGTGTGTGTGATTTTCTTCTTGCTAATTCTCTGATTAGGGTATTGTTCTCTGCTTGATAGTTGGTCTGGTGTTAATCCCTGCTTCTCTGGATGTTGGTTGCTGGAGATGAAATGTTTTGATCTTAAAGAGGGAGCAAACCCCTCGGTCACCAGCACTGATGTTACCTGGATGGGCAACGAAATATCTGCCACAAAACCGCCAAGCTCAGACGGCACCAAGGACTTCAGAAAGACTAAGTAGCCAATTGGAATCTGGCTTGTTCTTTCCTGTTCTTCAAATTATGGCAATCCCCTTAATTTGCATGGAGGGCATCTGGCTGTGAATGATCAGATTTGGGGAAGGTGCAACATTTCTTTTCTCCTGGGTAGAACGGGGCTAAAAGAGAAGGACTGTTAGTCACCCAGTTGGCTTTCATGCCTAAGGTGGGAGTAGAACTCACCACCTCCTGGTGATTGGCCCAGAGTCACCCAGCTCGTTATCATGCTTAAGGTGAGACTGGAACTCACCATCTCCTGGTGATCCAAAGTCGTGGCTAAGGTGGGACTTGAACACAGTTTCTTGCTTTCTAACCTGGTGCCTTAACCGCTAAACCCAACTGGGAAGGGCTGGTATTGCATCTCAGCAAGATCTGAAGAGCGAAGAGAGTCCTTCTCTCCAGCTCCCTCCGTGGACGGAGCTTCTCTTATTTCAGGTGACACTTTCGGTGGCTGATCCACATCAGGGGCGTTGGATAAGCTCTTCAGAGGTCTACTCACCATCCGTGGCTTCATCGCCTCCAAACATCTGCCTGTAGCACAGCATCAGCTCTATGTTGTAGCACTTATAGATGGTGACGAGGATCACCAGTAAGAGAAATATTGCTCCCAAACCTCCAGCAAGTTCAATTCTGGAGATCAGATCTAGAATAAGACAAGAATAAGTTAGGAAACGGAACGGCTTAGCCCCGGGGGTGTCAAACCCAATTTCGTTGAGGGCTGCATCAGGGTTGTATTTGACCAGGGTGGGGGTGGCCAGCTCGACGTCACTCGTGTTGGGGGCACCTGTGGTGTCTCGAGCGCTCTGCCAGCGAAAATGGGCTCCAGAGCTCCGTTTTATGCTGCGATGGCCTCCTGCAACCCTCCGCCAGTGAAAACGGAGCTCAGGAGAGCCGCCCGCAGCCCTCCTGGGCAGAAACCCCATGGGCTGGTCCTTGGCTGTTTCCAGGACAGCCCCGCAGGCCAGATCGAAGCAGCCTGGGGGCCGGATCCACCCCCCCCCCCCGGGCCTTGAGTTGGACACTCCAGACTTAGCCGATCTTTTCTGGGCTTAGAACTTAAGATCAGGCATAGCTGAGATGTGGATGGGGCGACCAAGGAATTCCAAGCTCAGGAAACTGAAAAGAAAATATTAGCAGAAGACAATAGCCGACTGTTCCAACGTGAACTCCATGCATATATCCACAAAGTTTGCCAAGAGTCAAACTTGACTCAAAAGTAGGTCTACAGAGATTCCCAATCATCCATGTTACGGTTGGCCCAAAGGTGCCTTTTCTTTTTCTTTTTCCAAATGGCGACTGGACTTTCTTGGCTTATTCGCTTTGCATCTCATCCAAAAATCTTCTTCAGGTCTTTTGGAGTCTCACTCACCACCCACCCAAATTATTTTCACATTCTTTGGAGTCAAAAGCCCTTTCCAAAACGATTAGTAGCAGAGTAGCACCAAAGGGAATGGTGTTCATGGAAATGCTTTCCAAAACTCCCCAGTGGGCCAGAGAAGGGGGATTGTGAAAATGTTCTCAACCCTGTTCCCCCAGTTTAACTCGCTTCTTGCTTCCAGCACCCAACTGTGGAAAGTCAATATGATTCATGACAACCATCGCTCAATGCCATGGGAGACACCCATTAAGAGACCGGCATATCGCTTGAGACCCTGCCTCATAAAGGTAAAGGTTCCCCTCACACATATGTGCCAGTCATTTCGATTTTAGTGGGTGGGGCTTATCTCCGTTTCAAAGCCGAAGAGCCAGCGCTGTCCGAAGACGTCTCCGTGGTCATGTGGCTGGCATAATTAAATGCCAAAGGTGCAAGGAACGCTGTTCCCTTCCCACCAAAGGTGGCTCCTATTTTTCTACTTGCATTTTTTACATGCATTCGAACTGCTAGGTTGGCAGAAGCTGGGACAAGGAACGGGTGCTCACTCCATTATGCAGCACTAGGGATTCGAACTGCTGAACTGCCGACCTTTCTGATCGACAAACTCAGTGTCTTAGCCACTCAGCCACCAGGTCCAGAAAAAAAATATAGAATACTTCATGAATCTGCCTGTCATCCTTTCACGGGGGCCATTCCTCACAACCGGGGGCATTCTTAGTCTTGCTTCCTAGTTCACCCACCCCTTAAAGAAACCAGAGGAATGCTATGAGACATTGAAAAGATAAACTAATTTACGCTCTGTCTCGGCACCGGTATTTATTGCCATGATAAATAAGCAATGCGAAAGGCATAAAACTCAGACACTATCAGGAATCAAAAGGGGAAACATAATGCTTCTCCAACTTGGATGGGCCCGTGAGTGAGTTTATATGTCATTCAACATAGCTCTAAACTTTACACAGCTTTTACTCACTCTTGACGTTCACGGTTAACTTTTCCTCCTGAAAGCTTTTTGGGCCCTGCAATTTATGGTTGGGATTCACTGACTTGTCAGTGAAATGTCACGGAATAAGGTACACCTTCAGACCAATCAAGCGGGAGTTTGGAAGAAGATGGAGATTCAGCCTGGTGCCTATTTTCTGATCTAAAGCTTCTTGGGATCCCCGGATGACGAGGTCAGACAAGCCACGGTTGAGCTAGGGAGCTCCCGGCAGATGTGACTTTAACCTCCCGCTCTTTGGAGGCACATCAGCTGCCTTCTGTGACAAGCTGACCACTGATTCAGAATGTGCGTCTTTTTGCCCAGCCCATTGGTTTTCTCCAATCGCAGCCTAGGAACTGGGGGATCTTCCCGCTTCTACAGCCTGAGTCGGGCACCAAGATTTTTTTATCCACCAGTACTTCAATATTCTAGAGTACAAAACAGACGCTGTGTTGAAGCTCCAATGTTTAGGATTGGTGAGGTAGTGCCCCTCTCCCCCCCCACCCATCCAGCTTCAGGAAACAAACCCCAATTCTCCACCGTAAATATTAAAGGATCCCTCATGTCACTGCACCCAGGGGTGAGTTGCTCCAGGCATTGCTGCCAGTCTGGTGCACGGGATTTACAGTCACAGACCTTATCCGGCTTGGAGAGCTGCCAGGCTGATATATGCAGATCTTGGCAAGGAGTCTCGGAGAATCATGAACCAATTAATTGCCTCCTGCAAACTCCCCTTTCGCTCCTCTTTTAGTTCCCCTGGGAGGGGCCATTCATCCTCCACCTGTGGCCTTACTCCCAAGTCAACCCCTGTTCTTTAGCTCTTCCCTTCATCTGGCAACTCTGCGCATGCGCTCGCTGGGAAGAGGCTCCAGCTGTTCATCTGCCCCACTGATCTCTGACTCTGAAGGCAGCTCATAACTGTCAGATGTCCCTGGCCCCCTCTCTGCCTCTGACACAGCCCTCATGAGAGCCTTCCCCAGACTCCAGGACTGGCCCATGTCCCTCCCCAACCTCCTCACTGTCCGAATCTGCTGCCAGCTCCTCTGGCCACTGGTGGGCCACAACAGCATGCTTAAGAGGCCTGGCATACATCACAACTGAGTTGGAACCAGCTCGGAGAAGATTTGATGAGGGAAAGAGTTAAAGATCCCTTTGGATCCTGCCATACCATCTCCGTTGTAAATTTTCCCTCCATAAATTGCTTTTCACGCAACTCCTGGGCTCGATCCCAGGCATGTGTTTGCATGCGAAGAGGTCGTTAATTCCAAGCGCTCCCCCTGAGCTTCTTGCCTACCGACAGTCAAAGCAATTTCCTCCTATGGATTGAGCAAAATCTCAAACACCTAACAAGGCTCTGATTTTGCACTCAGCGTGTTCTCCGACAAAGAAAGCATGTTCAGGCAGCATGGGAAGTGGCAGGGAAATCATTTTTTATAAATTGACCAGGCAGGTTTAAAGGAAAGAAGGGGGGGGGAACCCCAGTCACCAGAGCCCGTGGAAGAGGCTAAGAAGCCAATATCTGTGGCCTGGAGGAAGAGGCCTAACCCTCGAGTTGAACAGAAAGGAAGAATTGGGACGCAGTGGGATCCCTTCCGGGTCTTTTTAGTGATTTTAGTTTTGCATATGGCACTCAGCCATTGTTTAATAGTAGCTTGTAGAAGGCTCTTCTCTTATTTTAGTGATTGATTGATTGATTGATTGATTTGGCGACAGGAAGGGCATCTGGCCAGTAAACACGGAGCTCCATTCAGTTACCCAGACTCCACCCCACGAGGGATTATGTAGTCATTAAATGAGGATGAGGATGATTGATTGATTGATGCATTTATAAAGCTGCCCATTTCACCGCATTTCATTTCTTAGCCCATTCAATTCCGGAAGGAATATATATATATATATGGCTAGCTGATGAGAGCTAAATAGCTTGAAATAGATCTATACTAGTCCCCCTTTATTTATTTATCAGCACAAATAATATATATATATATAATAAAAATGAAAATTGAGCATTTTTTTCAATTAATGCTTTCTCA